TCTGAGTTGAACTTAACTTTATATACCCAACGACATCCAATGGAATGTTTATCTTTAGGTAAAGGAGTAATACTCCAAGTATGATTAGCCTTCATGGCTGCTAATTCATCAGACATGGCATTCCTCCATTGTTCATATTGCACCGCTTGATGATAGAAGTTAGGTTCAAAGGTAGAAGAAATATTGAATAAAATTGTGTTATGAGAGGTGGAAAAAGCTTTGTAAGATAAGGACTTACATAAAGGATATATTGAATCAGTTTGCAGGGAAGCAGAATTGGTTAGTAGATGTAGTCTACTGGTGTTTTGTATAGGCAGGAATAAGGAGAGTTGTTTTTCAGTAATGGGGCTGGAGTTCAATTGATGATATAAGTAGCTGTAAGGATACATTCTCCCCAGAATTGGATAGGAATTTTTTATGGAAGAATAAAGCACAAGCCACATTTAATAGATGTTGGTGCTTCCTTTCTACAACAGAGTTCTGCTCTGGCCTCTGAACACAAGAATACTGGTGAATTACGCCCTTTGCATTAAAGAAATCGGTGAACTTCAACTCATTAGCATTGTCAGATCTAAAACCTTTTATAACGGTATTAAATTGTGTCTCAATGAGGGAGAAGAATCTGGGTATTATGAAGGTCACATCAGACTTTTGTTTCATCAAATATACCCACGTAAATCTGGTACAATCATCAACCAATGTTAAAAAATACTTGTAACCAGCATGCGAAGCCACACTGTAAGGACCCCAGACGTCGCAATAGACCAAATCAAAAGGGTTCAATGATAAATGATTATTAGAGACAAACGAAAGCCTTCGCTGTTTGGCTAATGGACAAATGTCACAAGGAATATCTGTCTTTCTTTCATCAAATCTCAAAATACCTTTCAACAGATCAAGTTTCTTAAAGGAAATGTGCCCAAGTCTATGGTGCCAAACATGGCTAGTGACATTGTTTGCCCAACACATTACAAGAATCCATAACAGATGTATTACTAGGAAATGACTTAACAGTATTACAAGGACCCTTGGTACTAACGAATTTATTCAGAATGGAAGCAAATTTATTCTGAATAGAACTAAAAGATCCTGCGTCAATGACATATAGATCTTCAGCACGTTCACCCTTGCCAATCAGCTTCATCGTTGGCACAACCTGAATCATACAAGTGTCTGTGAGAAAAGAGACACTTAATGAAGATTTCCTTGTTAATGAACTTACTGACAACAAGTTAAATCTGAACTGTGGCACAAATATAACATCTTCAAGAATAAGTTCAGATGATAATTTTACATCTCCAATGAACTGAACAGAAACCTTAAAACGGTTAGGTAATATGACAAATGAATTCGCATCTCTCTTCAATTTATCAAAAGCATAAGGATTGGAACACATGTGGCTAGTAGCTCCAAAATCAATCACCCAAACCGTAGGTGAATTGATTATTGAATTGGAAGAGACAGAAAAACATGTACCTGTCATATGTTCAGAACTTCCTTCTTGATGTATCTCGTTTTTGTTAGCAATGAGATGAGTGTTTAACATACTCATCAGATGTTAGCACTAAGTTTGATTCAAGGTCTGCATAAAATTCCCAACATCTCCTTTTGGCTGATCCAAGTTGGATCCCTCAGTAACTGAACCAGCCACAGCACAATTGGCTTGATTAGTTCGATTGTTGAAATTCATCTGATTGTTGGTTCCTCCAACCCTCTGTCTAGGTTTATATCCAGGAGGAAATCCATGTAATTTGTAGCATTTATTAATGTCATGACCTGTATATCCACAATAAGTACACACAGGCCTATCTCTCTTCTGCAACTTGTTATTTAGTTGTCCTGCTACAACCTTATTATTCCTGAATAGACACAACTATCAGTTTGTGTCCGTTTTAGTCCGAACAGTTTCAAATATGTTGACAAGACACACCTTTCCACTTAATCAATTTTTGAAAATAAAAATAAATTAAATAAACAATTTTAATTTATTTTATCCAAAAAGAATATAGGAACTAACCACTACACCNTATCACGAATATCTACGCGCGGAATAGAATGAGTTTGCCCATTGACCCACACAAAATGGATACCGGGTCCCACCCTGATTATTGGTCAAACTTGACCCATTTCCAACAGAAAATGTTTACACCTTGGCTTACAAATGATTATGTGGCAGAAAATGAGCTGCTAATTTAATTATGTTTGTTATGAAAGATACGTGAGATCTTGTAAATTGTAAATTATGTAAGCAATGGTGTAAACTGGAATATACATGTGGCATGATTGTTATCTTATTACTAAATCTAGAGGTATCTAGAATTGTGACCACTGACTTGTACCCTATAAAAAAGGGGATGGTGCATGATTTATGTGTATGAGAGAGTAATATATGAATGAATATAGAGAATTGATATACAAGTGAGGTGAGGTGCTACTTGAGTGGAGTTTAGTGTGGTGGCAAGGTGTTTGCTTAAATACACAATTGTGAGGTGTGTGGTTAGTTTGAAAAAATAATTTTGCTAATAAAATATTTCCTTTGTGGGTTTGTGAGAGAGAGAGAGAGAGAGGGGTGTGTGCGCTGTGAGAACAATTTAAGAAAGAGTTAGAATTGTTTGAAAGTGGTGTGGGAGTAATATGTATGTGAGAGATAGTGAGTAGTGAGTAAGAAAGAGAAGTTGTGCTGAGCTTCTCAAGTTCGTGCACAAAGGATATTGTGAAGCGATCGGGGACGAATTTTTTAACCTCTCAAGTTCGTGCAAAAGGGAGATTGTGAAGCTTATATAAAGTTTGTTTGATTACGATGAGGTAAATTAAGTCACAATGAGCGACCTACAAGCGCTAGGCAGAATTAAGAAGCTCAATAATAAAAACAATATAAAATGACAAACTTGTATGAAGTCGTATTTGCAAGGGCACGATCTATGGGAAGTAATTGGTGGAAGTGACATAACATCACCAGATGAAGTCATGCTTCTGAAGAAGTGGAGAATCAAAGTAAGCAAGGCTATAGTCGTTATAATGATAACAATCGAGCAAGAATTGTTAGAGTATATAAAAGACAAGACCACACCAAAGAAAGTATATGACACTTTGGCCATACTATTCTCAAAGAAAAATGACTCGAGATTGCAATTTTTGGAAAACGACTGCTCTCGATCACTCAAGGTGAACTGACGATAAGTCAATATTTTAACAAAGTCAAATAACTTTATCTCAAAATTTCTGAATTAGATTTTTCGAGTAAAATTTCGAAGTCTAGAATGAGAAAAATAATCATACATGAATTGAGATGCGAATTTAGATGTTTTATTGGTGCAATACATGGTTGGCCAGAGCAATCGTTACTAGTAAATGTTGAACATTTGCTGGCCAACCAAGAAGCGTTAACCAAACAAATGTCAGAGGTCTCAATAAAGAAAGAGAAGCGTATTCAGCTATAAAAAAAGAGGTCAATTCCGTCAACAAAATAATAAATAATTAAAAGAAGGTAAATTTAAAGGATGAAATGAAGGAAGCTATTAGACAAGGGGAGTTCAAAAAAATCGCGACAAAAGAGGCCGCCGTTCAAGGAATATCAACGAACTAATGTCTCGTACTTTGTATGTGAAAAACAAAGTCATTATGCTAGAGATTGTTGATTTTAAAATGAGCTAACAAAAGGCAATATAACAACCTCTAATAAAAAATGAGAGTACAACAGTGAAGAAAAATGGGACACCGAAGCATCTACAACAATAATTGAGAAGGCTAGAGAGAAGAAATTGAATTCAAGCTTAAATAACGAATCAGCGTTGGTGGTAGTCGTACTTGATCAAATGGATTGTGAAGATGATTAGATTGATGACTCAGGAGAGGACATCGTGTTTCATAAAGAGACTTTTTGGTGGACTCCGCAAAGTGGGGAACTACCAAACTTAGAAGAAGTATTTGAAAAAACATATTCTTAACAGACACCGCAGATGGTGGAGCTGCTAAATTCAATGAAAATGGAAAACAAAATGCAAAAGATCACAGAAACAAAAACAACGCTTTGAGGAAACAAAATATGCATAAGAATCAAGTGACGAGATGGAGTCTACAAGTGCGACACAAAATCCTTGGCAAAATAACGTGTACCAAAAAACATTAGAGGAGGATTGACAGAATCTACAAGAAGTGATTGAGGCACGTACAAGTGTATAATCAGGAATAAGGAAGTCGAGTATAGATGAGAAATCAAATACCAAGCATGTTAACCTAAAAATAAATGAAGATGGAACTATAAAAGAGCCGATATATTTGAAGTCACAAATTCCTTGAAAGAAGGATGGTTGCTTCAAAATTCGTCTAGTTTCAAAGACATCAAGGGGTAACTAAAAAGAAAAGAGTAAAATTTAAAAAGTCAGTGTTGAAGAGGAGAATTGAAGATTGCCACCAACCCTTAAGATCTAGAATTTTCTAGTTTGTGCACCATTGTTCTTTTCTCTTATATACCTACATGCAGTTTTTTTTTTTATATAGCTTATATGCTAGAAGATTCTAGGAGCCATATGTAATATTATCTTATTACTAAAGCTAGAGAGATCTAGAATTGTGACCACCGACTTGTACCTCAATAAAAAGGGGATGGTGCGTGATGTACGCGTGTGAGAGGGAGTAATATATGAGTGTGTAGAGAATTGATATACAAGTGAGATGAGGTGCTACTTGAGTGGAGTTCTAGTGTGGTGGAAATGTGTTTGCTTAAATATACAATTGTAGAAACACGTCTCACCATGGACATGATGGAAAATGTCCTTATTTTCTTATTAATTATTTAAAAAGTTCTACAATTGCATATAGTGTTTAAATAACCTTAGACTTATCACGAGTAACATTCTTTTCTATCTATAGTCGATCAGGTACATTGATGAAAATGGACCTCCATCCATGGCAAATCGATCCCAAAATGAAGAAGAAACAATATATGATAACTTGGAGAAAAAAGAAGAAGAGATAGGAAACCCCACAAGGTGAAAGTTTCATTCTTGTGTGGCCTCAAATTTTTGGAGACCAATCTTGGTGCCCAGAGTCTTCAAGTCATTTTGTACCTCGGTCCGAAAATCAGCATAAGTAAAAGGCTTGTATTTAGAGCATTCGATCAATGCATCTTCAACTGGGAACACAAAATAACCTATTGATATTCTCTCTTTATCTCTGTTCACCTTCACTCTATGCTTTACACTCAAATATTTATCATCGCTCATTGCCTGCAAACAAATATATAATATAAATAAGTGTCAGTAATTAAATTTCTATTTTATAAAATAGCATTACCAGGGGACATATTTTTCCCATTTTCTTTATTTTTTTCTTTCTTAAATTACAATTATGCCGCAAAATAGTACATCTATTGTCAATTATGTGATTATTTAACAGACTTAGTGGGCAAACTACCTTAGTCTATACTCAAATGATGGAATTCCTAATTGGTACAAAAACAAAGACATAATTTAATATAAGATAATTTACCTGGGCCATGTCTCCAAGATTGACAATTAGAGTGTTGTGAATAGGTTTGACATCAAGCCATTGATTGTCTTTGAAAACTTGAAGTCCTTGTACTTCATCTTGATGTAATATTGAAATAACAGAACTATCAGTATGCGCATTTATACCCCATCTTTGGTGGGAGTCCATGCACCGGAAGTAGCGATAAACTCTTAGAATTCCAGTGGGAGGTGATAAATAAGACTTGGATTTTGTTGAACAAAGTTTGAGGTCCTCAGCCATGGTGCTGAATAATGTTGTAGCCACCCTACTTAGTTGCCTTCCATATTCTTCCAACGAGGATCTGTACACTTATAAATCACTCAGCTCAACCACAAGAAAATTTCAAACTAGTACTAGAACCAGTTTTTTTATTATTATTTTTATTTTTAAGGACATTGGAAATTTCATGATTTGAATTCAAAAGCTTATAAAAGGAACTACTAGGAAATTGAAATTTCATAATCGCCATAAACTATTACGGTAAGTACTCATAGATAACATGTTAGACATTGACTGACGCGAAATTGAGGTCCCCTCTTCTTTAGAGATATAAATTGGGGCACTCTTGATCTGATATGACCCTTCTTTGGCTCGACATATTTAAGATTATCTCGCCAGCACAATTTGAGCTCAACTTGACACTTTTTTTAGATACATGTGGGGACAATGGACCGATGGATTTTCTGATTTTTATATTTTAAAAATAATTTTTTTTTTATGTCATGTTATTGCACAAATTTTTTTGAAACTTAATTTTTAACGCCAAAAGAAAATGTATCGAGTTTTGTCCTATGGCTCATGTAGCAACCAATAACAATTTGTCTTTACAGCTCGACATACTTTGACATCTTTACTTTTTCACGTTATCAGAAGGAAAAATATATTAAGCCAACCTTTGGATTTCTTCAAGGCCTTATTTGTTTCTTGTGTTCAAGTTCATTGAACCCCATTTTCTGTAAATGTTCAGCATCTGCATCACTTGCTTTATTCTTAAAAATCATATTTCCATGAAAAAATTATCAAACTCGTTGTTGGACAAATATTATTTATAACTCATTAAAACAGGTGTCAATTGGACGAATGAGGGGCCGCTTCTAATGGCTGCTAATTGTACATACTACCCAACAAATAGAGGGTCCAAAAACCATGAAAAATGACTAACTATAGACTTCATGGAGAGAATCTCTGAGATTTAACTAGCTTTCAACCAGAAAAGTACACAATAAAAATTGATGGTCTTGTTTATTCTGCCCATTCTACGCCATAGCTGACGTAAATTGTTTCCTTGTCCCTTTCGAGTCTATTTTTCCTGTCACATCGAATCTTGCACTAATAATTTCCAAACCAAATTATTTAACTCCGACCATATAGCTACCTTTCACTTTTACTGTAACGCTAATGCCAAGACCAGTAATCCCGTTTTGAACATCTGTTAGAGATCATTTCTGAGCTCGACTCACTGTGAAGAAGTGGATTGATGCAGGATGACCCTAGTATAGAACTTTGTTAAGTTGGATTATGACCAACATTATTTACTATTTTGTTTATATCGATTTTTTAATAATTTGAACTTTTTTGATAAATTGGTGCAATCTGTTTACCCACCTTGGCTAGGAAAAATTAAAAAGTGCAGACTACAGCAGTGAAAAGAAAAGTATACCTGAAGGACTCAAGGAGTGGATCTTCGTATTGAAACTTGGAAAGCTTGGTTAGAGAAATATTTAAACCCTCCAACCAGTTATGATCTTGAGTGCCGGAGCCTTTTTGTAGGGCGTCGCCAGACGGCGTAAGGGCAGGGGTGCCCCAAAAGTAGGCTATGGGGCTGGTGCTGCTTAACAAATCTTGCTTAGATTCAAATGTAAGAGAGAAAAGCTGCTTGGCATGATCAAGGAGCTGGTTTAACAGGTTCAATGGAACTCCATGGTTGATAAGCCGGAACATGCCCCAATCTCTACAGGCTTCACTTAGATTTTCAGGGTTCATGCACAGAAAATCAATAACCGGAAGACAATCTGAATCTAAATGTACTGATGTTTTGCAGGCTTGTTCATTAGAGTCGATACCATGGTTTGGGCGAAAAAATGGAGGATAGGATTCCAAGTTATCAAAGTGAGACATCTAATTCTTAATTCCCTTACTTGGAGAGGTTTTCTTAATTGCACGTAGAATATATGCATTTATTTATAGGATTAAACTAGTTGTACGCGGTTGATGTACATTAGTTTGACGTTCCATGTGTTATCAAAATCTGTATCATTAATTATTTAGACATATTGTCAAAATTTATGTATAAAAAATTGTCACCTCACAATAATGTCAAATTTAATGTCAACAAAGATGTAAATATAATATGATTGTTATTTATATATTGTTAAATCTTAGGGAATCATGTCTCAAAATATTATGAGTGATGTAGAATGTCAACTTCTAATAGGAGGATATTTTATGCACTTATATTGATTATTATATTCATATTGAGCGATACGAGATTTTTGTCTTTATAGTAGTTCATTTTATAATACCAATCTTAAATTGATCGAATTGCTAACCCTTAGTTTGAATACAATTGATTTATAAATTCAATCAAATGTTAATTTGAACCACACAATCGCATGTACAACTCATTATTATTCACGCATTGTGTAGGGTCAATCCAATATTAACTTAAACCACACATACATATATACAACTCATTTTTATTTAAGCATTTTGTAGGATCGACCATACATTAATTTAAATCACACACAGATAGATACAACTCATTATTATTCACGCATTTCGTAGGATCCGTCAAACATTAATTTAAAACCTCACATACATAGAACTCATTATTATTCACGCATTTCATAGGGTTCATTACTATTTATATTTATAAAATCATTTATAAATTTGCCAAATGGAGTATAAATTATTTAAAGATACTTAGAGTTTAATTTTAAAAGTCCAACCTCATCGAGACGGGTAGTTCAAAGCTTTAAATATTGATTATATTTTCATAATTAAACAATTTCATATTTTACACTTAACATGTCCTACACAATTATACTCATTTGAAAATATAAATCTTAAAAATTGAATACTTGTTTGGGCTTTATACGGAACAAATTGTCAATTCCAAATTTTTGGGCACTAATACCCAATGGAATATTAAGGTTCTAATATAAAAAGTCAACTTTAATTATCAATTTTTTTTTTTTAATTTCATACATTGTATGAAACATTAGCTATAGTTAAGCTTAGTCAACTACAACTACAAAATACACTTACAATTGAGCCTTCTTTGGCTCTTATTTTCTAAAACTCATTTTCTTTTTCAAATTCATTTTTAATTACACATTTTATTAATAAAATAATTTTAAATGTAAATTAAAAACTTTTCGCAATTTTTAATCACATTTTCCAAAAAGTTCACACGTCCCAAAATATATTCGCAAAATGTCTTTACCAAACAAAGATTAAATGAGTATATTCAATTGACACTTTTAAGCATTTAAAAATGTTAAAGCTATTCAATTAAAAATTTAGGTGTATTTAATAAATACTTTTTAAAATGTTATAAAGGCTAAACAGTACAAAACCCTACCTATTGTGCATGCTGTGGAAAGCCCCCTACCTTTTGGAACTAGCACAAAACGTCTCTATTTGAAACATTTAGTGTGGAATACAATTTTTGAAGTGCGAAAAAACCTCATCTATGAACGTCGAAGCATGATCCACCCCCCTAACGTCTAATTCTGTTAGTTTAACCGTTACTGAAAATTGCCAAAATAAAAATGGAATAATTTTAATTGTTGTCTCAAACTTTTTGTTTTTATCTAAAAATTATACCCAATTTTTTTATATGTGCCATCACAATTCCAAACCCTTATCCTACACCACTCCACTCCACTTCTTCTTCTTCCTCTATTTTAGGCAAGATATGAATACTTACAGCTTCAAACCCCGCTACAACCCACAATTTAGGCGCTTCTGCCACCACAACCACCACTACGAAGCCACCACCATTACCAAACAATACATACACCTTGCCACCACCCGCCACCTTTTGTTGTGCCCCTTTAAACCTATCATCCACCATTATCTCCACCCATTTTTTCCCATTTCCAAGATTGCTCAATTCCTAATGGTGATCGAAAACCATTGTTGTTGATATTGAGGTCCCATTTTTGACTGACCGAGCCAACTCGATGTTGTAGTAGGATCTTATTCCACTCGTTACGTAAATGATATGACATGATGCACCAACTACGCACCAGCGTCGTGGGTCGGAGAATGTGGGGCCATAGGCCCACCGCTAGGACAAGGGTTAAAAATGAGTGGTCGAGAAAGAGCAAGGAGAGATTTATTAGAGCCAGCTAGTTGTGTATCTACATTTTTGTGTACATTCTATTTATGTTAGATGGTTAGGAAGTTAGTTAAGTTGTTTTTAGTTAGTTAGTTTTGTTAGTTGATGTCTAGTTGGCATGCCTTGTAACCATGTATGTGTATTATTTATACAGCAATTGTACTCTATTTTTGGCAAGTAATGAATGATGATATTCATTCTCCGTTTTTCCCTGTTCTGGAGCTAACATGGTATCAGAGCGGGCTTCTTCCGTTATTGTTTCTTCTTCTTCCTAAATTCCGATTCTTCTTCTTCTTCTACAATTCATTCTGGTTTCCTCTGATTCAATTCTCTGATGGAATTGATACAGTTTGAAGATCAAATTGATCCAAGGTCATCATTAAATAACTTAGCCATTGATGAACTTTCAAGCCCCTATCTTCTGTAATATTCAGATAGTCCGGGACTGATGCTAGTAGCTCAACATCTCACATGAGATAACTATGTCTCTTGGAGTCGTGAGATGATAATTGCATTGTCAGTGAAAAATAAGCTTGGATTCATTGATGGTACTATATCCAATCTGGAAGACAACAATTCTGATTTGATGAACTGTTGGGTTCTGAATAATAATATAGTGATTTTCTGGATTTTGAATTCCATTTCAAAAGAAATCTCTGCCAGTGTTATATATGCTACATCTGCTACTGAAATGTGGAATGATCTGAATGATAGATTTTAGCAGAGTAAAGAGAGCTGATGAATCTGTCTCGAGATCAAAACAATATCAATGTCTATTTTACTATGCTCAAAACAATCTGTAAAGAATTGAGCAATTATAGACCTAGTTGCAGTTGTGGAAAATGCACATGTGGAGGTGTGAAAGAGATGAATAATTATCATCAAAAGGAGTACATGATGTCCTTTCTCATGGGTTTAAATGACTCATGTTCTCAAGTCGGAGGACAAATTCTGCTTATGGATCCACTACCTCAAATCAACAAGGTGTTCTCATTGATATCCTAAGAGGAAAATCAGAGAAAGATAAGTGCTCAAACTATTGTTGGAAATGATCACAATGAAGTTGTTGCGTTTGCTCTTAAATCTGATAACAATACAGCAAGTAATTATGGATCATATAAATCCAACTCAAGATCTGGAAATGCTGGAATCACCAAAAAGAAGGAGAGGCATTATTGTACTCACTGTAACATTCTTGGACACTCAATTGACAAATGCTACAAGATCGTTGGATATCCAACAAGCTATAAAGGGAGATCAAGAGATAATTTTCAAAACACTTCTTGTTATAATCATGTCAATCAAATTTCTAATTAGACTTACGTTCCATTTAATGCCCAGAATGATGATAAACATGATCAAAAGCATGGCCTTGGAAACTTTGTCCAGAATTTGAGTTCCAGTCAGTACCAACAGTTGATGTTTGTGCTATCTACTCAGTTGGCATCAAGTTAAAACATAAATTACGCTGATCAACAGGACAACAACATTATCTCGTATGTTGCAGGTATATGTTTCTCAATAACAGTAGATCATATTTTTTCATCTAAAGACATATGGATAGTAGACTCGGTGCAACTAAAAATGTGTGTTCAGTTGTTGCTGCTTTCATATCGATGAGATTAATAGATAACTCCTCTGTTACTTTGCCATACCACACACGAATTCTAGTAAGGTTGTGTGGTGATAGCAAGTTGAGCTCAGATCTTATCCTGGTGATGTTTTCTTTATGCCTCAATTCAAGTTCAATTTATTATCTGTCAGTGTATTGACTCTTGGATCTCAACTCACTATCAGTTTTTTTCAAGATCATTTCATAATTCAGGATACCAAAACCAGGAGGATGATTGGCAGGGGTGAACAGTTCCAGGATCTATATATTCTTAATATCAAAGTTCTGAATTCCATTTCCAATGCATTTATAAATAATGTCTCAACTCATGTTTGGCATAATAGATTTGGCCATCTTTCCCTTAAATGTTTGAATAGTTTGAAAGACCGTTTGTTATGTGATGCTACAAAGCTGAATAAAAACATTTCGTGTTATATTTGTCAACTTGCTAAACAGAGGATATTGTCTTTTGATTCACACAATCATCTGTCAAACCATCCTTTTGATATTGTGCGTTGTGACATTTGGGGGCCTAATCAAGTTACATCACATACGGGATATAGATTCTTCGCAACATTAGTTGATGATTATTCAACATTTACATGGATATATTCGTTGAAACACAAATCTGATGCTATAGTAGTTGTTCCAAGATTTTTTAATATGATTTCTACACAATTCAATGATAAGATAAAAGAGTTCAGATCCGACAACGCTCCTGAATTAGCGTTCAATGAGTTCTTTGCTGATAATGGGACATTACATCATTTCAGTTGTGCTGAAAGATCTCAACAAAATTCTGTGGTGGAACGTAAACATCAACACCATTTAAATGTAGCAAGAGCTCTATATTTTCAGTCTAGAGTTCTAATAAAATTCTGGTCTGAATGTGTGATGGCAGCCACTTTTATGATCAATCGAACTCCATCTTCTCTAACACAAAAGACACAACTTGTGAAGTTTTATACAATAAGCCTGCAGATTATTCTATACTCAGAGTATTTGGATGCTTAGCCTTTGCTTCTACTTTGACAACTCATTGAAATAACTTCTAACTACGTAAAAGGTTATGTATTTTTCTGGGTTATCCATCTGGAATCATAAGTTATAAATTGTATGATGTAGTTACAAAACAAATATTCCTATCACGAGATGTTGTTT